TTAATTTAAACCACCAGAATGATTGGAATCATAAAATTCTAGCACTGGAATCAAACGACTTCAAAAGAACGATAAAGGAGAGTTTGCTTATGGACTTAGTGGAGAAGAAAACGGGGAAGAATGTCTAGTCTCAAAAAAGCTTTCAGTTGTACGAAAGCTTTCTATTTAAGTGTACGTCAAACTATACAGCTTTCTTGTATTATTTCTGACTGAGGATGTACTAAGATATTGTACGAAACGTCTCGTAATACATAGTTATGCATTCGGTGTTTATTATACTACTATTCAGTTAACTATCAGTAAATGGTTTAAAAACGGTCAGTAACCATCAATAGAAAAGAAAGAAAAAAAGAGTAATAACGGCAGATGTAGGGATTGAACCTATGTCTGACAGATTAGTAGTTTGTCACACCTTTATAATAATTTATGCCGTCAATGTCAATTAAGAAAATGAAAACGAAAAACATGACCACTTTTATTGTCTAAGCAATCCATACAAACATTGCAAAAGTTACATCGTTTATTACCGACATCATATTTGGTCTGTATGGTCAAAATTTTCTCTGCATTGAGTATTACGAGGGACGCAAAGAATAAATTTCATTTCCCAAGCATACCGCATGAGTTATTTGTGTTTAGGATTTTCACCTATTAGACCCTATCGTTCAATAAAAACCTTTTTCAGTACACTACACTACATAACGCCAACAGCACGCCACTTTCAATATGTCAATACTCTATACAAAATTTCAGCTTTTTCTGTCGAACTAATCACAACACCTTAACGATTTGTCAAGAACATTAGTGTATTCTAGTTCTAATGTTTCGAATCTAGCGTAGAATTATCCTTTCAAGTTAACACTACATGTTCCTAAATTAATAAAGATTTGTCGAAACTGGGATTGAGCCGAAAGCGATTCGATCGTTGTTCTAGAACATTTAATTTGATCTAATACAAATAATATTTGGGCACGCCTAAGAATATTATTGAGTCTAAGAAAAGCTTATTTGCTCACCATTTTCTTATAACAAATAAGTGGACTTTTCGACTGTTTATGTTTTGTTGCGTGATTCAAATACATCACTGAAAACCAGATTACAGTCTAAATCTGTTAGTTCTCAAACCGAAGTTTGGACTGATGTTGCACGTTCATAGATACCGTCTACAAAATATGCCTCTTTAACAGCCGTTTGAGGCTTTTCATTCCGCAACAAAATACTTCAACTTCGTCATCTGGTATCCAGCCGACTCAATCCATAGGAGTAATGACGTCTTATAGAAGTTGAAATCCCGCATCTGCTGATATAAAAGAAATAATTTTTTTACTTCAATGTTTATAAGAAAATCTTCAACAAAAAGTATCATCTCATTGACCGAGAGTCTGTTTTCAATGTTTCGAACATCAGAAAGCAGAAACAAATACGCGTGCACGAACGAACAAAGCATGTTCGTGCACATGCTCAACATACCACCAAATACACGAAGAAATTCTACATCGTTTGATACTGGATTTTAATTTCTAGACTGTTTAAAGATACAAATAGTTGTTTCTGATTTTGCAAATGAGCAGTGGGTGTTTCCACAGAGTCCCTACCATATTCACAACGACTTTGTTCTCTTAAGCTGGAACCATTTTTAAATGAATGATCCATGAATAGGGTTAGCGTAACTCGAGTTAAAAAAGTTTGAAAATATCGGCATCATAGAACGCTAAATCTCTAAACATTAGAAGTGCTGAAAACCACAATAAGTCTGACGGATCAGACTTGTTGTGGTTTTCAGCACTTCTAATGCTGCAAAAAACGTTAAACACTTATTTTAAAAGGAACATATGACTAAATACGTAAAACTCTTCATCGTTTAGCATCAAAAGAGATTTTCTGATGCAGATTAATCTGGGAAAGAAACTTTGCATAGGCCGGCAGTTTAGCCACCCGTTGCACGTGCTGTGGACATATATTTATCTGATTGGGACGCGAACGTTAAATTATAGAGTAGACTGAGTCTCAGGAAAACGTTATTTGTTGCTATAACTTTTTTATAAAGAGTCTGTAAGAGCTGAAATAATCAGGCTTCCATATTTTTAAGGTGTTCCTCTTGCTTATCTTTACGTCTTCTGCCAAATTCACTAACTAAGGGTTTATGTATTGGCAAGTATCGCTATTTCCAAAGAACTTAACTCACGCCTATAAGCATAAAATTCATCCATTGTGCCTTGAAATGGATAATTTCCTATATAATTATTGCTGTAGCCAAACGAATAGCCAAGAGTAATATAAATTCCCGCACCACCAGCATTTGAATAGTATGAGACAGCGCCTGATGTACCTTGTGATACGCCGTTTACGTACAATGTTACACCGTTTGTTGTACTAAACGTATATGCTAGATGGTTCCATGTATTCACGGTTACGAAGGGTCCGCTGACGACTGGTATCACAGAACTGCTCTGATAAAGTTGGGCAACAATCTGTCCACTATACGTGAAGCCGAGCAATTCTTGTTGATTATTGTTACCTGCTGAAGAGCCAGACCAATGGATTATTATACCTCCATTGACAGATGTAGGATTTATCCACACAGCAAACGTAAACGGTTTAGTATTTGGGGATCCAATAGAAGTAAACGCAAACATTTGAAAATAGGCTGAACTGGCTGAAAATCGGATAGATTGATTGATATGTCCTATTGCAGAAACAAGATTTTGTTGATTCGTACTGTTCAAACGATTTGGACCATTATCGTAATATGGACTGGGTTGATCAAACGAAAAGTAGAATATCTGAGTGGCATCATTGAATATTTCAGTAGCTATTTTCGCTCTAGTTGTTAAGGCCACATTGTCTAACCACCCTGAATAATAGGTACCGGTTAGCACTGATCGAGCCAAATACAATGTTCCATTATAGCCCTGATACGGTTGTGCATTTGAGCGCAAGTTATCCTGAACTCCATCGATATAGATAATTTGTTGTAATGTTTGATAATTATAAACGAAAGCAATATGGTACCATGCACTGGTGGTAATTAGAGTTGTACCTAGCAAATCATTTGAATTAAAACCCATGTAAGCACGACCATTTCGGATAAGCAAAATCAGACATTGACTTGGGCAATAAGTGCACGTACATTGACTCATTAGCACGTTATCGCCTGATACACTAGTCGGATAGATCCATGCTTCAAATGTAAAACTTTGGTTGGCCAGATTAAAGTAGTTTGTTATGGCTATATATTGTTGTGATACTGATGAACAACTAATCGACAGACCAGAATCGAAATAAGTATTTGCCGCAGTCCCATATACCGGTAATGTGATGCCATTCAATATGCCATTGTAGACACCATACATATCATTGGCATTACCATCGAACGACCAATAAGCAGATATTACTGACAGAGTAAGTGCCGTCGTTGTTGTTGTTGATGAACCTAAGACCGTTTTAAAAGATTTACTTGATATGATGTTTTTAAAACATGTAGAAACTTTTCGTGTTTATATCCACTAAGAAGCAGTGCACGATAGAGGCGAACTAAGTTGCTCAATGAATTTTGACAAATGTTTCTCAAATCTCTATCTGCAGATAGAGAATGTCTCCTGAACACTTTTGTCTCTTGACATTTTTTTCCAAAGTGCTTTCCCTCGACGCTAGAACGCTTGCAGAAAAGATCGTAAAATACGGAAAAAAGCGGAAAAAAATTTTGAGATATGGACTAGAAAGAGAATTTTACGCGGATTCCAAATATCACATTATTCGTGAGCGATGACGTTTCCTTCGTCCGTGGTGGCCAAATCCCTTTTGACCAGCTTTTATATTTAGATAATTGTAAAAGTTGGCAAAAAAGAATTGCGAAATTTTCAGGTTTTTCCGAGATGCACTGACCGTTTTTGACAAGAGGCTTCGGAGTGGTTTCCATCAAATCCCCAAAAAGTCGACGACGATTCAGGGTAGTATTCTGGGTTTACTTCACGAAACCATAGAGAACCCTTCAAACGGACTATCTTCGGTTGCAAAAAGCTCTTTGCAAAACGGCCGACGACGTTTTGTCTATGTCTAAAGCATAAATTATTTCTAGAGAACGCTTAACTCAAACAAGTTTAAATTTTGATCATAAATAGTACTCATACCAAGACAGCTCTGGTAAAAATTTAAGCTCATTAGTATGTGATTTGACGGAATTATAGCGTAAGCAAAATTTTTTTCCGCTTTTTTCCGTATTTTACGATCTTTTCTGCAAGCGTTCTAGCGTCGAGGGAAAGCACTTTGGAAAAAAATGTCAAGAGACAAAAGTGTTCAGGAGACATTTCTCTATCTGTTCTGAAAATTTGAGAAACATTTGTCAAAATTCATTGAGCAACTTAGTTCGCCTCTATCGTGCACTGCCTTCTAATAGTTAGCCGTAACGTTTGACCCTTACCGGTTCGACTGAGTATAATCGCTGTTGGAATAACAATAGCAGCTATCATTAAGAGAGCCAACAAGGCTGCTGCTATCCACAAACACTTACATGTCATCCATTTTGATCGATGGAATCGAAAGAATCTAAACCTTGGGCAATGCAACGCAACTGTTTTGCAGCTGGCAATAGCATTACCTACTCACCTAGATTTCTCAGTTTCTTGTGGCATTGTTCGTAGTTCGTTGGTTATTACACTATTCTAACGTTAAGAATATAATGTCAGAATAGCGCCATTTCTATTTCAAATATCGACATTTTGAACGATTGCATTAGATCTCTCATTAATTTTTTATGGAACTCATAACGGTACTCATCATAGTGCGTTGAAAAGACAAGTGACATCACTAATCGTTACCTTATTTCTCACGCGCTAGCTATTTCTCATTTAATGTAGATTAACAAAATTTTTGCACGATCTGTAAAGCGCTTAACTACTTACAGCTGGAGTTATATCGGAAACTTTAGTGAAATAAATTTCATCGTTGTGATCTACTTCAGAAAGTTTTGGTACCTAAAAGTCCAAGAAAATTAATGTTTATTGCATTCTCATCACCACAAACCAATATCTGTTCTACATAGGTCATCAAAGACTAAACCAAGGTGCTTAGTTCGGATATTATTTTTTGCAAACATTTCTTTTTTGCAGAAAGGATCATTGACATGGACGAAATTTGAGTAGGAAACACTCTACAGCCCATGAATAAAAGTTCAAAAAAAAGAACGGTCAAGTACGCCTTCTTGAAAAAATGGAATGTGTCCTGGAGACGCTTTTAGCGTTCTTTTTCCTCTCTGTTGTCGGCTTATTCCAAACACAACCGATGCCATTTAACGGTATAACGAATAGCACTTCTAACCACAGTCATATAAATTCAAGAAAAGGTGCTTATTCCTGCTTCTGAACACACGATTTTGACCAACCTATTAGAGTCTAAAATGCATTGCTTTCAGAAAATATTCGAAAAAGATTTGTTTGAGACAGCTTCATGTTATTCTTTTATCCAGCTTCCAATTATTTCTTTTGTACCCTCCCATGAAAAAAAATTTATAAAAGAAATTGGCCAGGAACTCATTCTTGAAATTCTTGAAAAAATTCTCGATTAAGAACGCGTTCGAACGCTCCTGGTAACGACGAACGTGTTCCTTCTCAAGACAAACGTCTTGTCGAATTTTCGAAGGTTCCATGGCACAGTGTGTATTTTTCCATAGATCAGGCGGACATTTGCTATAGCAGCAGTCCGAAAGACTATAAACATTTTTTTATAGGTTTTCAGATATGCTCTTTCTAATGGTGTGTTTTTCAAAGTTCAAAGAGACTTTCATCTGGGTTCACCAGAGACCGGGTCTCTAGAAAACCCTTTTAAAAACTTTTTAAAGCGCACCATTGGAAAGAGCATATCTGAAAACCTATAAAAAAATGTTTATAGACTTTTGAACTGCTTCTATAGCAAATATCAAAATCCTTATCCAAAACTATGACTCTATGCTTCGACTTTAGCGTTTCGTTAGATCCAACTAGTTTTTGCTCAGAAGAACCTACAAATCGCATATCATTCGATGCAATTTCTTGCGCTGATTCCGAATATATTATTTTTGTTGCAGAAAAACGTTTCTGAACCGAGAAAAATGAAAAATACCTGAAAAACTCATGTTTTGTGGAAAACCCGCTGTATGCTCCAGAAACATTTGCGCATTTTTGCGCATTCACCATAGATGCAGGACATATAAGAGAAAATTCTGTGAAAGTTTGCTTGAATTTGGACCTTCGCTAACTTTCGCGCGCTCACTTTACTAAACTTAGGCCTTCGGAAAATCGCTTGAGAAAAACTTCTTTTAATTTTCTCAACTATCATAAGTCCAATTTAAAATATTTTTTACTAATCTGCAGCTGATACCATGCAGATTTAGAATATATGTCGCTTTTGATTACAACTTCATTGACTGCTGTGAAAATTTCATTTTTCGCACCGATACTACTATTTCAGGCTAATTTTTGATTGGCTGATTTTCCACGCTACATAAGCTTTATAACAAAACATTTTATGCCATCAGATAGAGCATGTTTCCAAGTATATTTATCGCTATTTGAATCATTGAAAAGTCGATTTTCGTTTTTTTACCTAATGTCCGCCTGGATGCACACTGTGCATGGTATGTCGGTACCATAAGTATCTTGACAAAAATTTCCATGAATGTTGATCATGTCAAAGTATGGTGAAATTCTTTTCGACTCCTCCATCTGTCGCCGCTGACGTAGTGTCGTCCCAATAGCGGTTAAGATGGGACAGTTCATATTTCCCAAAATTTTCCTTCCAGGTGCGTGTTGGAGAGCTCGGTTGGTTTCAGAATGAAGCCAACGCATGTTCGAGGATTCTAGAGAAGTTATCCCAAAACGGTGAAAAACCAGTACCAGGGCAGCATGCGATAGAGATTACACACTTTATCCTGTTCAACCATGAACTTATCTACAAACTGATATTATTTAGAAAATTTCTGATTTTTAAGAGGAGACGGGGTCTATGTAGAAGAAAATGAATGCTTTGAAGTTCCTTGAGAAAGTCTACAGCGTTTCATGAAATTACAAAATGCATTTTATTCAAAGAAAGGAATTTTTCACGTAAAAAATAAAAAGGTTAATATATCATTAAGTTTATGAGGAAGCTATAGCGCAGCGTAGCGTGAACGATTTATTCTAGATGAAAAGCATTTCTGTCATTTCAAGTTCTGCTGTTTACGGTTGATAAATTTAAAGCGAGTCGAGTTCATTTTTAATCCATAAAAGTAAAGCTGACAAGCTTTTCTATCAATGAGCCAAGAACGATATTTATCTATTCTCCTGAGTAGTTCTATTTTGTCACTTCACTTCAGTTCACTTGCTTTGACAATCGACATACAGTATCGCATTTGGCGGTAGTGAAAGATTCCAATTAATTTTATTTAAGAAGAATGCGTTTAGTTGTCGTACCTCCGAGATAGCATGGTTATGATTGATGTTTGAGGGTGTTACTTGATTGCTTGTATGACTTTCCCTTCCACTATCGACAGACGGGAATCGACGGATGGCATCCTGTTAACAAATCGGGTTCATGTATGTCGGCAGTCGCATACACAAGGTTTTACTCACCACAGTACTTCTCTTTTGTGGTCTGCCTTTTGTGACCCGAACAATCTGATATGGAACATCAACTTTGCTGTTCATTGTTGATCGAGGAGCGCCCAAGTTTAATTTGGAAACAAAACCAGACGAAGATTCACGTGGATATGTACGCTCAGAATAGTTTTTATTCTATTTTGATTGACATCACAGAACTGTACAACTCTGTTAAATAATGCTTGTTTCGATTTATTACAACAAGTTTGGATATTTCTATTTCTTAGAAAAAAGAAAAGAAAATGTACTTAATCAGACGACGGCTTTCGCTCTAAGGTTTTGTTTTAATAAGCAATGAATAAATTATTTTCAAATAACAATGATATATCTGTAACACTTGAAAGATTGTCAAATGGATTTTATGTTAATATATTTGCTAATTCGAACTTTTATGGTCTGTTTTGTTGAACAAAAGAGAAATGATCAATACTTTTAATAAATTGTCGATAGTAATGATAAAATATGAGCAATTTCCAGTAGACCGATCACTCATTGCTCAAATCGATGACTTTAAGTCATTTTGATAAATGCCGCAAAGAGACACTCGCCCAGTACAAAGGAGAATTTTTACACTTTCTCACAAAGTACACAAATCGAACTCTATGTGGCTTAGAAAAAGAGCAAAAACTGAAGGAAGAATGACAGACGCGAAGACATGTGTCGGACTTTTTCATGTCACTTTTTCTAAGTTTCATCTTTGTTCGCAGATACGCCAGTACGACTACTGTCCTGCTTTATACTGCCGTACTGTTTCGATAGGGCGTACTTTTTCTGCTGGCACGAAGTGCTTTGTATGATGCATACACTGGAACATTTTATTATACGGACGAGTGTTCAACGCGTTTTTCCTTCATTTTTCGGGAAAAATCGCTCCCGACAGCGTCTAAAAGTGCTTCTTTTATCTTGATGAGAGAAAAAGTACGTCCGGACCCATCCTTTTTCCCAACTGAACGAAAAACTCCAGATAATGAGTCATCTCTGCCACAGAATTGTGCAATAAATACGCACTTTTTTCGTACTAAACATAACTTAGAAATTTTTCCTCCTCAGTGTGTTCGAAGACTCTGGAAATTCAGTCTACAAAAAGTAGACTTTAGGTAATCCATGAGGGATGCTCGAACCCTACTGTCAATGGCTAATATAGTATATTATTATTATATTCATCCTTTAACATAAACTATATCTAGTAGCTTTCACTCGACAAATGTGAAAAGCACCATACTTATGGTTCGATCTTGGGAAGCGGCCACCCATCTTCTTACTAATCATAGTTTTCACACAATAGAGAAAGACATTACATCACAATTCT